CCCCGGGATTTACAGCTCCGAGCCCCGGGATTTACAGCTCCGAGCCCCGGGATTTGCAGCTCCGAGCCCCGGGGAGTGTAGAGCCCAACCCCGGGGTGCACAGAACCGAGCCCCGGGGTTTATAGCCCCGGGATTTGCAGCGCCGAGCGCCGGGGTCCGCAGAGCCGAACCCCGGGGTTTACAGCCCCGAGCCGCGGGGTTTGTGGAGCCGAACCCCGGGGTGTGCAGAACCGACCCCCGCTGAGCCGTTGCCGAAGGTAGCAGGGGGGGCTTTGGGCAGAAGGAATTTGGGGGCAGGAGGGTTTTAGGGGCTGAGCTCCTCTCTGGGGCTGCACATCCCTGCTCTGAGCCGGCTCCTCCCCGGCTGCGCACAGCCCCGGGCCATGAACCCCACTTCCTTGCCGAGCCCCAGTAAGCCTGGCTCCTGTTGTACAGAGCCCTGGCGTTAATGTTTAACAGCACTCGGGTGTTTTTCCTGCCAGGAATTCCCCTTGGCTCCCTTTGTACCTCTCTGGCTTCCGAGCACCCGCAGCGCCTCCTGTTAACCACATGACCAGGGATGTAAATTTGCCCCTTGTTCATTTTTTGCCCTGGCTTCTGCCGCGCTCGGTGCCTGCGCTTTGTCTCTGCCATATCCGGGGATATTTCTCAGCTGAGCTGCTGCAAACCGGGAGCTGCGGCCGCTCTGCCCGTGCTGCTCGGGGTGAGTGGAGCAAGCCCTCGCCTCGCTCCGTCGCTCAGCCCCAAACCCTCCTGTCCCTGTGCCCAGGTGCGGGTGCCCAGGTGGGACAGGGCTTCGAGCTGCAGCAGCCCCAGGACACGGTGTCGGTGACAGTGGGGAAGACGCTTACCCTGACCTGTACCACGTCCAGTGAAAACCGTGAAGTGGCGGAGGGGTGGGGGCAGTGGGAACCAGACTGTCTATGAGCAGACGGGCTCCTTCCCCCGCGTGACGAGGGCATCGGATGGGTCCGACACAGACTTCACCATCCACATCAGGGACGTTCAACCCGCGGATGCTGGCACCTATTACTGTGTAAAGTTCAACAAATCGTTGCTTGGTGATGAGGTGTTTCGACGTGGAAAGGGCACGGAGGTGTCTGTACATGGTGAGTGCAGCTCAGCGGGACACTGCTCCCGGTGGGACACCATCCTATGGCCCCCACCTTGCCCGCAGCAGGGTCCCACACTGCCCTGCACCCACCACACTCTCCCTGCTCTGCCTTCTGTCTCCACAGAGACAACCCTGGTTCCCAGCATGGTGGCTGCAGCTGTAGTGCTCTGCTTACTCCTCCTCCTCGGCCTCTTCGTCACCCTTTACTTGTACAGGCGGAAGCGCAGAGGCGAGGCGGAGAGCCAGTGCCTGGCCGGGCCAGCAGCCATGGGCAGCTTATCACCCATCCCTCTGCGGTGCTGTGCAGGGACCCCCAGCACCCCCAGGTTTGTACCCATCACCTCTTCCTTCTGCACCCCAAGATGAGTGAACCACCTTATCCACCTGCCTTATCCTCTGGAGCAGTGATTTTCCCCAGAAAAGGTCCTTTACTCACAGACGCATTACCGCGCTGCATCGCTTCTCTCTGCATTTCACAGGAGTGTGTGGTGGGGAGCACCCAAAGCCAGGGAGCTCCCTGCAGCCCCTCACCGCGGTGTCTGAGCCTGGCCCAGGCACACAGACAGCATGTTCTCCCTCTCCTCTGCCTTCAGCATGGGTGTCATGTGTGGCCACATGCTGCAGAGCCCGGCTAAAATTCGGGAGGAGAACTGAGGAGCGCTGTGCTGAGCGGGGTGGGGAGGGCACCCAGCTTCCTTCAGCTCTAATGGCCGTCCTTTCCCTCAGCAGCGAAGTCCTGGACGCAGAGACCTCACATCTGCCCAGCCAGGTAAGAGTGAGCCGTGAATATGGGGAAGAGCATCCTGTGACGATGCCCCGGCTTGCAGGGACTCTGCACGGCTCTGGGGCCAGCGTGGGCACTGGGTGAGCAGCAGCCGCCTGCACGTGGTCCTGGCACGCTCCGCATCACAGCGTGGGGCCACCTGTGCAGCCATAGCCCCGCTGTCCCAGCGTGAACCTGCCTTTAGAGTTATTTTTGCAAGATTTATCTAGTGACGGCATTAACCATCTGTGTGCACTTCTGCAGCAAAGCAGCAAGGAGGACAACTACATCCACTACGCCGACCTCCAGCCCCTGCCTGTGGCCCCGCGGCACACCAGGAGCCCCGTCGCAGCCTGCTCCGAGTACGCCAGCGTCAGGGTGGCTGCCAAGTGACGTGTGACACCGCTGCCTGCAAGGCCGAAGAGCCCGTTTTGGGGGAGACAGCAGGGACATTTCTTCAGGGCATAATAAAGAAGTGCATGTGTTTGCATGGCCCACCCCGGTCCGAGCTTGTCATGCTTAGCAAAGTTCCCCTAATTTGTTCCTGTCTTGGTGGCCACACAGGGCAAGATGAGGCTCAGGTTTGGATCTGCTCTACCGGGGCTTGGCAGCAGCTCTCCCAAGACCCAATCTTCAAGCACAGCACCAGGCCATGGAGCTGAGCACTTCTGCCTTATGCGAGCCGTGCGGCGCCGGTTGCTTCAGGAGGAGTTCTCGTACGCCTGTCTCCACCAGCACAGGCCACCACCGGCACTTTCCCACCTCAGCAGGTTCCTAATTTGTGATATCTTGTGACCACACCAAGCCTATCCTCATTAAAGCCAGCAAACAGCCATTCCATCCCATCCCGCTGTGTTCAGAGCAAGAGCGATAGCGCCGGTCCCGCGGGGTCCTGGGAGACACGTGGCCACCGCAGCCCAGTGCCAACTCACCGTGTGCTGCTGCCGGGCTTGTGCTGACCCCACGGGCAGCTCCCACCTCCCACCCTACCCGACTCCCCCCAAACCTACATCTTCTGACCACGCGCAGGGCAGCTGTTGGGAACAGCCCTCGGTGCCACTTTGCTGCAGCTCGTGGGCCGAGACTGAGCTCTTGCCTGCCTTTCCCTGCCCTACCAAAGGGGCCGGTATTTGGGAATGGGGCTCATGATGCTGTGTTAAAAGCGGGGCAGCCGGCACCAGCCTGCCTGCCCTTCCACCCCTTCTCCCCTGATCCGTGCGCATCTCCTGCTCCAGCCCCAGCCAGTCCATGCGCATCCCCTACTCTCTGCAAGCGTCCTGCTCTGTGCTCCTCCCCTGCTCCATGCAAACTTGCTCCACGCACATCTGCTCTGCGCACATCTGCTCCATGCACATCTCTTGCTCCATGCACATCTGCTCCGGCCACGTTGCTCCGTGTGCGCCTCTTGCTCCGGGCACGTGTGCTGGGTGCCCACCTCCGAGGGGAGCAGGCTGAGGGCCAAGGATGGAGCATGGTGGCGGCACCCGGGTGCGCCCCGATGCGATGAGCCCACACACGCACCCCCCCGGCGGCAGCAGGTGCTCCCACCTCGCCGAGCGCTGCCACACGCAAACACCCCCTTTGCAGGCACGGGCTGAGGGTGAAACACACTTTTCAGGCAGAGGAACCCCGTGTTTCTGTCACTGCTGCTGCCTGTAACCTTGAAAGCTGCTGCAGTTGCTGGTTTCTAACTTTATCGACTTTTTACTGTGAAATCAAAAAAGAGAAGTGAAACAAGACAGTGCGAAACAGCAGCGTGTGTGTACCCAGGGGAGATTTATCTGCCAGTAGAGATCCTCTCGGGGAGAGAATTCTTACAGGGGGAGAGGACCCACTACTGAAATTCATTTGCATGACTGAATAAGCAACCCCTGCTCCGGGGATATGCCCTGGGAGCGGTTTTGGGTCATTTCTTTCTCGAGGGCGCTCAGCACCCCGTAAGCACAGTGGCGGGGGGGCGGGGGGGGGGGGGGGGTGGACAGGAGGGG